GAAAGTGTGTGAGCAGGATTAGTCATATATTCATACATACCAAAGAAATATTTAAAGCTATATATCTGGGTAGTAAGTGTATATTTAACATAAACACTATTTATCATAATAGAGTATGCAAATGAACAGTAACAATAAAAACAAGCAAGAATTTCTTCAGTTCCGCAAAAAGTGAGTGATATTTGTTGGGTTTCAAAATTGCCCATAGGTGTGAGTGACTGGTGTGTGAGTGTGCCCTGCCATAGGTGTGAGTGACTGGTGTGACTGGTGTGTGAGTGTGCCCTGCCATAGGTGTGAGTGACTGGTGTAACTGGTGTGTGAGTGTGCCCTGCCATAGGTGTGAGTGACTGGTGTGACTGGTGTGTGAGTGTGTGAAACACATCTGTTCACAGACAATGTACTTATTACCATTTACTAATAAGCAGATGTTTTACCCAAAATAACCTACATTTGTGAAAAATGATCAGAATGATCAGGATTTAAGGGCCTAATTCAAGAGACCAACTATGCGATCCATATGCTGACCTTGGAATTTGAGCCGCTGATCTGTCAGTCATAAGCACAGCATCCTAACGTAGTGAGCTACACAAGCCAAGAAGAAATGGCGTCACTGGAGGGCTCTTATATGTCTGTAATGATACAGATATCAGGGGCGATAAGTTACAGGTCAATGACACCCACCGCTTCTCCTGCTTGCACACGGTGGGGGTCGGCCGGTGAGACAGACGCTCGGCTTGGTTAAAGCTCTCAGCTTTGTCCGCATCTCCACCAAAGCCTGACCTGATCCCACTTTAGCCTTAGCTCCCGGCTTCCATGACATTTGCCGTCCTCATTTCCATTCGGAATATTTTCCAGATGAACAGTTTATACGATCACTGAAGCGCACATTCCTGTTGGGCCCAAAAGCTTCTGCTGGTTAGCCCTGTGATTCCAGTCTTGTGATGCAGGAGTCCCCAGACCTCTGCTTTGATTTATGGTGCGGCCGTGCAAGTTGTAGGGGACGGGACAGACTTTCCAGGGGAAAACAGTAAACAGAGAGAACGTGGCTAGCGTTTTCCACAAGAGAATTTTTATGAAGTGAGGCCTAGAGAGTGATGCCAAGAATAATAATGAAAGCCCCCACCTTAACAAAACATTTTAGGGGTTTTTAGTAAGGGGTTCTGAATAGGAGGTCTACTGGCCAGGGAACTGCAGATTTGTGCTTAGGGATTTAAAAAATTTACCTTTGAAAGGGGTCAGAGGTTGGCAGTATATGGACCATCACTATATGAGAGAGATGGTATGAACATAACTATGCTTACCAATGTTAAACAGCGGAATGGCCACACGATGAACTGTGTGATGCTGTCTTAGGGGTCACTGTGCGTCATGCTCAGCCCTCTTGCACACACTCATTCGCTCTCCCTCACTCTTGTGCACTTACTCCCTATTTTAAGAGGGCTTGTTTATGCACCCTATTAATGTTATGGTTAGAGTGTATTCTGGGTTTCTAATTAAGGCAACTTTCAGGATAAGGAACTGTTTGCTCAAAATTTTTGAGCCCAAGCATTAGGTTTACCTCATCCATCCCACTGTACTGGAGTTAAAAGAAGTTTTTACATGTTAACTGGAGAGATAAGCCCTAGTTTGGAACAAGATGTGACTTGGCAGAGGCTAGACCTGTAGCATAGGGGGACAACCAGACCCCCTGTCAATATCCTCATCAGGTAATAAATCCCAACTGGCCCTGTCTGGACTTATTACCTTGTTAAGTCTTGCTTTTAATCTGGGAGCACATTCCACACGTTAAATACCTTACAGTGTACTAAAAACACCATGGTTAGCATTATCCCTGGGAACAGGAAGTACTCACAGGTACTGCCCTGCCCTGAGATCCCTGCACTGGCTTCCGGTCAGATTTCATATATCAGAGGTACTGATAAATTACCCGTTAAATTATATCGTACGCAGAACACAGGCTTCCCTCTCATCCCTCGTACACTGCTCACCAATACCTTAACACAAGGCACACTGCCACTATGGCTGCTGGTGCTGCTGTACGCACCTGCATCTTCTACTGTCTGTCAATGTGTCTATGCATGCTTTGACCACCCGTATCCTTTATCTTCCTTCGCACGTGTCCGGATGGTCCCCGGGGTGGTCTTGCGAACTCTGACATGGCGGGTGCGGTCTACGATCTGCCAGCTCACACAGACCTGCTTGGATATTTGACTTTCCAACGGACTTCCTCTATGAGAGCAGTGTATACCTTGCTTTTATTAAAGCAAAAGCTCATTCCCCTTGTATTCCTTAATGCCAGTATGCCCTTGGCCAAACTGAGGTCATTTTTTCCTAATTCTGCAGTTTTGGTTCTTCTCCTCTGTTGTTTTTCGCTTTGTTTTATTTCCCTTTTGCACTTTTCCTTATTTCACACTGTTTTGTATAAGTGCTGCCATGATGCTTTTGGCGACTGTGCCGTGAAAGGCAGTAAATTAAAAATAAATTTAACTGAAATGTATGCATTGCTTATGCAAACCATGGCTTCTGATCTTTTTGGTAATAAATAAATAGGTCAGTGAATATGATTATAATTACAGTAAATATTGCACTAGGAAGATTAAAAAATAGATGTTTATATAAATAGGTATTATTGCACATGTGCCCTGATGGATTCACCGGTTGTACAGCTTCACCGGCTGTCGGGTAGCTGTTGGTGGTGCGATGGAATAAGAACAGGCAGATGTTCTAAAGGGCTTAAGCGAGTGTGGGTGTGTGTGGATTTTAGGGACACATTTCCCTTCTGAGGTCCAGCCCGAGATCTGATTGATTTCCCATAATTCTGTTGTACTTCCATTTTATGAAAAACAGGGAACCCATCTTCACCTCTGAACATATGAATAAATAAATAATTAAAAATGCAAACGTGAATGAACACATAAAGGGCACATGAAGCCACATGAAGTAGTAAATCATCTTTAACACCAAACGTACATAGCGGCAATCTTTTATTTTATTTTATTTTATTTTTTTAATATAGGGCCTTTCACAACAGAGCTGCTCAAAGGCGCTTTACGTGGGTGTGCTGTGCACCCTTACAACATCATTAATAGAGAGCAATACAAAACAGAAATGGAGAGATAAAAAAATGAATTTTGTATCTTGAAGCACAAAATAATAATCTGCATGCCTACAGCAGCGTACATGTAGTGCAAAACTGAGAAATTGCAAAGACAGTACAGAGAGTTAAAACAAGTAAATGTAGTGCAAATAACTAAAAAATGACTGCACACAGAACACAGATTTCTGAAAAAACTGAATATTATGGGGTATTAAGGAGTAAATAAATAGATATTTTAAACATAAAATAATAAATTAGTGGACGATGCAATAAAAACGGTAAATAGAACTGGACTTTTACCAGGGAGCTCGCATTTTAAAAGAAACAAAAACACAATCCTGCTTGTCTCTGTCTTACCTGGACAAACCCTAGAACATCTGATTGCTCAACTCATACAGTAGCACATCTCTCTCACAAAGACCTGCATCGACAAAACAAATTATGAAAACTTCACAGCAGACACACGAGAGGCGCCTTAGAAGCACAAACAGGCCTAAAGCGGAGATCAGCGCATTTCTCTTCAAGTCTAATAAACATTAACGCCGCTGTCAGACATTTGTAGTCTCACCCTCTGTGTAAGTCTCACCCTGATAGTAAAAGGTACCATAAAAAAGAACAGCAATTTACTAGCGACAGATCTCAAACTGCCCATAACCAGACCCACAGATGAAAATCCACATTTTGTTTAACGCTTCTCATGAGGAAAAAAGGCTGCAGAAAGAATACAAGCATGATCATTTTGAATGTAACTGCAAAAGTTAAGCTAAGTCAGTTAGGTACTATAGGCTATAGCAAGAATATATCATTTCAAAGATGGCTGTCTTGAGTATATAAATCAAATATAAATAACCATTAGCCCTCAAATACATAGTAAATATAAGAGTTTTGCAGTGCGCTATTGCATTTTCCTCCAAGTCCACTTTTCTGCAGTTTCTTTACAGCAGCCTAAGGCTCACACAGCTTGGCTGCCTGGATTATTTCAGCTGCCATCCATAAATCAGCTTCTGCTATAATTCCAAAACACAGCATAATGATGGTGATTATCACTCCGCAGTCGCCTCCCAGAGGGGCACGGTGGTGCAATGGTGAGCGCTGTTACTTGACACCTCTACTGGACCATGGCTTGAGTCTCCGCTAGGGCTCCGTGTGTCTGGAGTTTGCATGTTCCTTCCATGTCATTGTGCGGTTTCCTCTGGGTTCTCTGGTTTCCCCCCTGCAGTCCAGTAACATGCTGAGGTTAA